AATGGAACCACCATTTGACCCAGCTATCCCACTTCTAGGTTTATACCCAAATGATTTAAAACCAGCATACTACAGTGATGTAGCCATATAAATGTTCATAGTAGCCCAATTCACAATAGCTAAACTATGGAACCAACCTAGATGTCCTTCAATAAATAAATGGATGAAGACAATGTGGTACATATACACAATGAAATATTACTCAGCTTTAAAGAAGAATGAAATTATGGCATTTGCTAGTAAATTAATGGTGTTGGAGAATATCATGGTAAGCAAAATAAGCCAATCCCCCAAAGCCAAAAACTAATGTTTTCTCTGATATGCAGTTGCTAATTCACTATAATGGAAGAATAGATTTATCTTAGATTAGGTAGAGCAGAATGATGGAAGGGACGGGAATGTCGGGATAGGACATAGAATGAAACAGATATTATTAACTTCTGTACATATATAACTGCATTACTGATGTGATTCTACAATATGTACAATCAGAAAAATAAGAAATTATACCCCATCTATGTATGGTATATCAAAGTTCATAAATACATTTACTTTATATATTAATAATTAAATAAAAATGAAATACAAAAGAATACAAGTAACAATAAATGTTAGTAACGGTGTGGAGAAAAGTGTACACTCATATCATACATTGCTGGTGGGACTGCAAATTGGTGCAACCACTTTTTTTGAGGAATCGCACAAAACTATGAATGGAACCAGTATTTGACCCAGTTATCCCAATCCTCAGTATATATCCAAAGGAAATAAAATTATCAGAGTATAGTGATGCAGCCCTATCAACATTTGCAGCAGCTCAACTCATAATAGCTAAGCTATGGAACTAATCTAAGTGCTCTTCAACATATGATTGGATAAAGAAAATGTGTGTGTGTGTGTGTGTGTGTGTGAGTGTGTATATATTCACATACACACACACACATATATACACACATACATACATACATACAGTATGGAATAATATCCAACATTTGAAAAAAATCAATAGAACATTTTTTCTTACATGGAATTGGAATTAATTGAAATCAGTCAACCAAAATTTATGCCATATATTTGTATAACATATTTTACCTACAAAAGATGTTTGAAAAGTTATCATTCCCAATACATTTTTCTTTCTCCATTGACAGAATTCAAGTTTCTCTATTTTTTATATACTAAAATAATCTGGTTGCCTAAATATTAATATTTGCTGAAGTTTCTCTTTAAAATGTTGTATTTGGAGTTAGATGCCATACTGTAGATGGGACCTGGTTGGAAATTAAGTTTTAGACATGTTACATTGTTAACAGAACTGTAATTCATTTCATATAAGTTGTAATCAATGTCCATTTAAATACTTGATTTTTGGAATAAGATTTGTACCTTGGTTAAATTTGTGTATTTTTAGGTCAGTTATTGAGTATGTCAACTTTTAAGAAATGCTGCTTGTTTTATCTGTTAGTATTTGTGTCATTCATAATTTTTGTTAATACATTTTAGAGTCTACTCAACTTTTAAAAAAATATTGAGCAGAATGTTTTTAAGAATAGAGCCTGTTCTATTCTTAGAGGAGGTAGAATCCTTAGCTTGTCATTCATCCTTTGGATGTGATTGTTTAGCTAGTGACATATATTTGAAACTTATCATAATTATCATTATAATAACATTTGCCAGATATTTTAATGTAGGTACTTTTCTAAGTAACTTTGTATGTATTGATTCATTTAGTCCTCATAATATTTTTTAAAAATATATTTATTTTTTAGTTGTAGGTGGATAAAATATCTTTATTTCATTTTTATGTGATGCTGAGGATCAAACCCAGTGCTCACATGTGTGACTGTTGAGCCACAACCATTTTACAAATGACTAAGCTGAGTTACACAGTTTCAAGAACTGTAAAAGTCTTGGAATTTTATAGTACTTGCAAGCTAATAAACTAGACAATCACGGTTTTATTGCTGTTTGTAGAAGACACAAGACTCCCAGGTCAGAAGCAAAGGACCTTATTACTCACTGTACAGCAGGTAGCATGAGTACATGTTTGATTTTTTTTCCCTTGACTCCCAAGTTACAGGGGCTCTGCAGAGTAGCTTGGGTTGATGTTACATCCAAAATGAGAAACCTCCAATTTAGGAAATCTAATCTTTATAATGGACTGAGCAAACTTGGCCTTTGTTCAAGAAGGAGATAGTGTCTCTATATTCCAAGGCTTTGTATTCAAAAGATACACGGAAAGATAGTACAGGGACTGGATTTGTAGCTGACTTAGTGGTAAGGCCCTTACCTAGTATGCATGAGTTCCTGGGTTAGATCCCCAAAACCATACCCACACATGCATACAAAGAGCAGAACAAAAACTGAAAATGCCTCTTCTTCCAGAACATGCAAGGATAGAAGAGGCCTGTGGGAATTTGCCTCTCATCTGAGATGTTAAGAAAGTTTCCAAAGTTAAACAAGTATGAGTGGACTAACTCCAAGTTGGCCACAAGAGATTTTCTCCATGTTTTCTTGATTCAAATATTGTGCAGTTAAGACATTTCTGTGATCTACTTATCTAGTAACAATGTAGGAAAAGGAAACAACATTTTGTATGATTTATTTTTAACATGGCAGATTCTTTTTTTTTTTTAATGTAAGTGTGTCTGTCAAAATATAGTCTATGGGGTAAACCTGGCCCACTGCCTGATTTTAAATAGCTTATGGGGTTATTCCCATTTTGCTGTAATTAACTCTAAAGTAGTAGTTCTTATTAAGTCTTCAAAGAGAAAAAATTATTAATTTGTTATATACTTGACTTTTGGCATGATTCGTATTACAATATACATATGGAATATAAAGTACAACATCTTGCTGAATCTTAGAGATTAGATAAGGAACAAAGAACATTTGTATCATTTTTGCAGAGGTTGGGGAAAAAATAAAAAATAAAAAAGCCAGGAATATCCCTAGATCAGTAGAAGAGTAATGAAGCATCACTACTTGCAGAGTGCAGAAGCAATTTTATTATGAGACAAAGCTTTAGCACACCTAGAAGATTTTATTGCTTGCTGTAAGTCAGGATATGGTGGGCTGTGGCCTAGGTGAAGGAGATGAGTGAGCCCCTGGCTGGAATGGAACAATTTGAAAGCTGAGCACATCAGAGCTCTTCTCTCAACCAGTCAGCAAGACTGTTTTACTTGGTTTGATTGTGTGCCTTTGGGTAAGAAGGATTTCCAACTGTATTTACTTAAAGTGGCTCTTTAGGTAGTTTTTTTTGTTGTTGTTGTTGTTTTTCCATTTATGGATTCTGGTATTTATTTTTATTTTTTGAAAGAGTAGCGTTAGCTGGAGGAGATGGGGGAGATGGATGAAAAGACTAAGAATGAGAGTCCAGTTATTTTCCCTGATGTTCTTTCTTCCTATGGCTATGGGCAAAGCCACAACCCCCAGCCAGGCAGTCAACTATGGGATACCTACACACACTCTCCTCACTTTTTCTTCTTCAAAACACATCTGTCTCTTTTTTTGACAGGAAATCTAATGTAGGAATGACATATGTTAGATTTTGTTATGAGAGCTATAAATTGAACATCATCATTTCTTTTTTCCCTTGTATTTTTAATCATTTCTATTGCCATATTCAATATCTTGAATAAGCAATTTGTGATTTTTGATTTTTAACTAACCCATAATACCCTGCCCATATTTCCCCCTTTGAATTCATTTTGGGTTATCTTTGACTAAATAAAATGTCCTTAAAGGTGTAAATGCCATTATCATTTTAAGGTTCACAGGACACACTTCTATTTTATAATTGTGCTATTACTTGTGAAATTTTTATTTGAGTATTTAAAGTATTTCAGGTGGTTGTCAGTCTGTTGAATGAAAGTTCTTTTTATGATGTTATACATGGTACTTTACCAATGTCATAGTCAGAATGCTTTCAGAAGAAAATGATTTTTAAATAAAGCATTCATGAAAAATACAGTCTACTCTCTTTCAGAGTTAAGACAACAAGAAATGAAGTACTTATGAGTCAGGACTCTGAGGAAATCCAGACAAGGCTATGATTTCATTACATTAATTGCAGTATTTGTGTGACCTAAATAACAAAAAATTCAAGAAATTTACTCACGTATGAGGGCTGCTAAACTATGTATGGCTATTTAACTATTATGGTTTTCTTCAGAGTGAAGTTCTCTTTTATTTTTATGAAAAATATTAATGGAGGATAAGGAAATACAACTAAAGGTGAAAATACCGTTTGATGGCAAAGGTGATTCAAGAAAGATTTAATTGAAAAACTATTAATATGTACATTTTGTAGACTTCTTTTCCATAAAGAACTACATCATATGGTTACGTCTTGTTTTAATCACTTTTTCCAACAAGAAAACTTAGTTATTTTGATAGTTCTTAAATTTCAATGTGCAAAATAGTAAAAGTAATTTAGATTCTTATTTTTATTTTTTTGGTACCAGGGATTGGAACCAAGGGGTGCTTAACCACTGAGCCACATTAACAGCCCTGTTTGTTTGTTTAGTTACTTAGTTTCAAGGATGGGTCTTGCTAAGTTGCTTAGGGCCTTTCTAATTTGCTGAAGCTGGCTTTGATCATGAGATCCTCCTGCCTAAGCCTCCCCAGCTGCTGGTAGTACAGGTATGCCCCACCATGTCCTGCGATTTAGTTTGTACTTTGATTCAGCAATTCCACTCTCCCATGAATAATATCTAATTATGGCAAAACAAGCTAAACATAGTATTGGTTGAAGGAATTATCTGTTATTGCTAGAAAATAAAGGCATTTTTTCAAATAAAGAGAACTAATATGTTTTAATTTGGTAATTTTATAAAATGTTATAGATGATGATATTGAGAAAATATCTTGAATAAAAGTTAAATAAGTGAAAAATTTACTCTGATGATTTTGCTATTTATAAGACTAATATGGGAAAGACAAAATCCTTATTTCATGTCTTGCCCTGTGTTTCTGGTTTTTAATTTCTGTCTCTACAGGTAATAGAAATCTTTGATTTCATGCATAGGAACCAGATTACTTAACAGAGAGACTACAATTAGATTCTTTAGAATAAGACAATGAAAGAGAGATTGAAAAGGTAAGAGAGAGATTATATTGTAGGTATGTTTAAAACATGGGACATTTTATTTTAGTTTGTACTAATTTGTGTGGAATTTTTTCCTGTAACATTTCAGTTTTGTCCATTGAGCTTAGTTTAGGCCTTATTGTAGTGGTTGGTTTAAAATTACAGGTAAGATTTGGAAATCATCTGAAAACTTTCAGTATGTGTTTTTTTTTTTTTAATCAAATGTATTTGAAGTCTAAACAGCTTTTCTTTTTCTTGGGCTCATTTGGTTGTTTAGAATTGGGAATACATTTTTCCTATAGAAAAAGAATATTCTGAATTTGTATTAATTTGTGATAATTACTTTAAAACTATATTATAATATTAAATATTAAGTGTTAATATTTAAGATGGAAAATTATTTTAGCTTTCTAAAATGCTTGTGATACTAGCTAACCTAGTTCATGAGACTCAGTCAGCCAGATGCTGTTTCTCCTTTAAATTTTTAATTTCTTTAAAGAAGTTCTTCATCACCTACTTCTAGAATGTTATTCCTTTTGTGTTTCTTGGGATGATTTTAGAATTTGAGGTAGAGATTTAGGTTTGGGAGTGGGCTCTGCAACATTGAGTCATAATTTCATGTGATAGTTGGTGAGAAAAACAGGAGAAAAAGAATAAATGGGAAGAAGGAAAGTGAACTAGGACTAATTTGACTTTTGGCTAGCAGTTAACAGGCTTCCATGACTGGCCTGACAGGACACAGCTAGCTAGAGTCCATGTGCAATGCAGGGAGAAAAACCCATAACCAGTGAGTTAATCCCACACTCTTAGTGCATTCACTATCTAATCAAATCCAAATACAGTAAAGAAAAAAAGGAAGAGAAAAAAAATGAGTCAGCAAATGCTTTTATTGCTGAATTTAGATATCTACCTACAATTCTGTAATGACCTAGGCTCTTGAATACTAATATTAACATTTCATATTTGCAAAATATTTTACAACTAAGAAGGCTCTTGTATTCATAATTGGATCTTAGAACTAATTTTGTAAGACAATTCAGGTAGATATACTGCATGCTTTGCAAATAAGAAAATAATGAAATTATTATTTACCCAAGGTCATATGACTAATAAATAGCAAAACCTAGAGTAAGTGATTTATTCTTCTTTCTAGCCAGTATTCTTCTGATACACCAAACTACTCCTGGTGAACTAGGCATCTGACTCTTCTGAATGCCTCCTAGATATTAACTCCCTGGAGTGCAAAGACAATGTCCTCTTTTTCTTTTGAAGTTCTTTGCAGTATTGGTCCACAGATAGAAGCCAAGCAGGAATATTAGTTAATGAAGTTGTGGATTTGACAGTGTGGAAAGAGGCATGGCATCAGATGGATGGAGAGTGAAACCTGAGTAAGTCCCATCTTGGCTGCATGACCTAGGGTTCCTTATTTGATTTCCTAACCTACTTGTCTCATCGGTAAAATACAGATGAAAATATATGTATCATAGTATTTTTGTATGACTTAAAAAGAATATGGCTGGGGTTGCAGTTCCTTGGTAGAGTACTTGCTAGCAAGTGTGAGGCACTGGGTTTGATCCTCAGCACGGCATATATATAAATTAATAAAATATAGGTCCATCAAAAATAATAACAAACGTTCCACATAGTACCTGCTAGCCAGTAGATGCCCACTATTCAATTTAACGATGTAGCTTATGGCTTTCCTTCCTTTTTCCAGCTTAACCCTTTTTTTTCCTTGGAGATGTTTTTATTTGTGTGTTGGCTTTGTTTTATATGTTTTTAATCTTAATAATTAGTCTGCCTTAGTTGGTACTCTAGGATGGAGCAACCCATTTTGCTTAGAGCATCTTCATATCTGACCCTGTAAATTCTGAGAAGCTGGAAGAAAGGGAAATATGCATTTTACCTGAAGCAGATATATCATGTTCCTCATTTCTTGCTCCCTTTAGTTAGGCAGTTAAGTTACAAAAAAACTGATCCAGGACTATTCTTAGGAGGAAAATCTGACTTTGTGGATATGCTCAGAAGTCAAATGTTGTCTCTGCCTGAACCAGTATATCCTTGGAAACTTGAAACATGAAACTTAATAATTAATTTTAAATTTTGTTTGTGGTATTTATAAGTGAAGGTACAAATGTTTTTTTCATGAAGTTCTCTAAAGCTATTAGATGTGGCAAAACTAGATATTGCCCATTTTATTTTAAGATTTTGACTTAGTCTTGCAGCATTTTCTTTTATTTTTTATCAAAAGTTGTAGACCTCAATTTGCTTTTCAATATGATATTTCTAGGTTAATAAGCCAGTTATTACAATAAAATCATATTTCCTGAAGTGATATGTTTTGTAAATAGTTTTATATAATAGATGTAAGATTCCTCCTTCCTGGATATCATTTTGACTCCTGTTAGTATTTTTGCTGCCTTTCATTAATGGAATGATTTTACATCATTTAAGTACATATTTTGGGTAATTTCTATCAAGGCAAACACTGCTGTCTTCTGAGGACTTCTACCAAGGCCTGTAAAAAACTAAGGTGGGAATTTTACTCTTAACTTGGCTATGTTTTAAGTTTAGGAAGCCAATTTTTCTGGCTCTGAAATGAAGTCATTTTCTTCTTTTTTTTATATATAAATAAGACTAATTTATTTTCAGTTTCTACTGAAACTGCAATCTTCTCCCTTCTGTCTAAATGGCCCAGACCATTTTATTCTATGGTTTGAGCTCCTCACAGAGCTCCCTTGTTGTCATTAATACACTATCCTATGTGTGCTGTCCACCACTTTACACATTCACACTAGGAAAGTTAGGTTGAAAAATTAGAATCTTTCTTACAGCTTTCGGACAGTAAGGAAGCACTAAGGAAGAACATTTTAAAGACACTTTTATACTCGTATCTTCCTTCTTCTTCAGTGCTAGGAAAATATATGGGATAATTTGGTCCACTTTGTCTGGGAATAATTATTTATGAGGAGATATGTGCTCTGTAGAAGAAAGGTTTGACAAGTAATATATATTTTTTAGCTCATTGGCCTTGGGAGCATGTTAGTGATCCTACCATAAAAAGCATATGCTTAAAAAGTGGTTACTGTGTGAGGATAGTAACTATTCTTATATAGTATTGTGTCATAGGGAGGGTTTCATTTTACCTGGGAGGAATGAATGAATTTAAACCAATACACAAATTCTGTAATGATTTTTTTCTTCAGGATATGATCTGGCCTGACAAATATCTCTTCATTAACTATAGAAGCTTGGGATTCCATCATACTTACCTAGAGGTAATCTTCCATAAAATTCTGAAGTAGATGGTAAAGGTGGGTGTTAAGTAATTTAAATGTGAATTTAGAAACTAGAGAAAGATAAAAATAAAACCAAAGCACTTAGACACAGTCACATCGCCTGGTAATAATATCAGTGTATTTTGCTGCTGCTTTTTAAGTTTTTTTCATAGACTTGCTACACTTTTTGCATGACTAAAAAGGAAAAATTAAGTATGAACCTGGTTGAATGTTTAATAAAAATTTAGCAGTGTCATATTGATTTTGATGACATAGCCACTTTTTTTATTTGTTATCTTCAGACTTGGTCCATTTAAAATAGGTTGACTTGAAAGTATTAATTACCATTTAGACAGAAGCAAGCCCCATGTCTAGCACAAAGTGTGTTGAATTTCTGAATGTGCACAAATATGTTCATTCCTTTTTTTCCAGTTCTAGGACATTTTCCCCTAAAAGCAGCCAGTGTTTTAGCTTTTTCTTTTTCTTAATTTTTTTTTCTTACAAGATGCTGTGATTCCTTTAAAGTTCAAGAAACTATTTTTACATCTAGCCTAATATTCAACTTAAATTGTTGTCCTTACTCACTGTTAAACCAAATTAATTTGTAAAGGATGGATTTTAGAATAAATATGTTTAGCACTCTATAACAATACAGATTACTGAAGTGTATTTTCAAATATTAGAACATAATTTTAATTTAACCTTTTGCACAGAATTTCTTTAGAAGTTGAGGTTTTATGTTAAAGTTTTCTTTTCTTGGAAAAATAGAGGTTCTCAGTAGACCAAGGTTATTTGAAAATTAATTTCTATGCATAAATGTGTATGTTATTGAAAAAATAGTTTACATATTGCTTCTTTTCATCTGTTACATCTAGGTTACATGAAATGATGAACTGTACCTAGCAATATTGGTCTATCTTGTCCTCAGGGGAAAAATAGGCCTCTACATGTAACATGTGATACTCGCAAGATTAGAATTTAATAAAGTGCAAGAGAATACCAAAAGTTTTGATATTTTACTTGCTTGTTTTTTATTTGTTTTTGTTTTTTTTAATTTGAGGAAATAAGCACTCTGTATTCCTTACCCTAATTGCCAACTGTGCCCTAGTGGATTGAACATCAAGGATTTGTCACATTTTTTTTTTTCCTTCAGAAAAGCAGGGCATCACAAATCATCAGTGAATCTTTTGCTGAGTAATGGTGGTTTTTCAATATTAATTTATTTAAGCACATTTTGTTTTTAGAAATCAGTATTTTTTTATTCCAAGATCATATATATTGTGTGTATACACATCATTAATATCATGTTTTCTCATCTTTATAATTTGTTCTGGTAGTATAAATAAAAATAATAATTTAGTTTTCTGAAATATAATTACAATCATTAACTTAGAATGTAGCATGTTGAAATAAAAGGAAGTTGTTTTTTAAATTTATTTCTTGTTGTAATTTGTTACATATTGACAGCAGAATGTATTACAATTCATATTACACATACAGGGCACATTTTTTCATATCTCTGGTTGTATACAAAGTATATTCACACCATTCATGTCTTCGTACATGTACTTAGGGTAATGATGTCATTCTCATTCCACCATCTTTTCTACCCCCATGTCGCCTCCTTTCCCTCCCACCCAAAAAGGAAATTTTGTAAATTTATCTTTTTATAATATTGAGACTGTTTGGGCGAGTTTATATTGATTTTATGAAAAAGCAAGTAGAAGAGTCATCTAAAACTTGTAACTTTATGAAATTCAGAACTATTCTTCACTGTGGAATTGGAAATGCTGTATGCTTTATATATTGACTTCTAATTGTAAGTGTAAGTCAATGCATTCATTCTCATTTTAGCTCTTTTGTTACCATTTTTAGTAAAATAATAAAATATTGTATTTTAATAATAATCTGTAGATATTTTTATTTTTTGTTAACTGATAAGTATATTAGAATATTTTTGGTTTTAGTTTCATTTGAATGGAAAACTTGTATTTTTAGATAAAGATCTTTTTATTTCCATAAGAGCTGTAAGGATTGAGCATTTGCTGTAGCATATGGTACATTTTCTGTCCTATTTTTTTTATATCAGTCCATTAAGAAGAAAAACTGAATTAAGTAACCTAAAAATAATTCTGCTATTGGCCTATTTGTTTGTTTCTTTGTTTTATGGTCAGTTGATTTTGTTGTCCTAATTTAACAACAAAATGTCTTCTGTGCATAAGCGAAGTTCCACATTTGATTGCCCTGATGGAAAAGCTCTGAAGCATTTTGCTACCTATACACAGAGCAGCATCTTGTTTGGCATCAGCATAGCTGGTCAGAGGGCCTTTATAGTAAAGGGTGCTAGCCCTGGTCTTAGGTCTAACCTCCTTATTCCAAAGAGACCCACCTTACCTGATGATCACAACTTGGCCTCACCTCTAGATGCAAAGGCACACACATTTTTCCAAATCACATTCATTTTCACAATAGCTTATAAACTTGAACTTGAACTGAAGTTTTTTAAAAAGTGATGGAAGAAAAGGTATATACTAAAGCTAATCATAAGAGGTATAGCCTTTAAAAGTTCAATTATTACTATTTTACCTATTCAACTGTTCTTTAAATTATCAGAGTATTTTAAAAATAGTAGCAACTTGTACAGTGGAATAAAGTTGGGCATTTCTTTCTTCTTTACCTTTTCTTTGGTGATGTTTGCCATTTTGGTCATACTGTTGACTGTTATCCAGATTTTTAATATATGTATACTTTTGGGTATCCTCTTGTCTTGCATATATGGAAATAGTTGGTATAAAAAACAGAACATAGTGGTTCTTTTTCTAACTCTTAAGACTTTGGGCATTTGGACATTTTGTTTGATAACATATTCAACATTGAATAGAAGTGCAAAGTGCCTTAGGAGCGTGATTGTGATTCTGCAACATCAATGGCAGAATGATGCATTTCTTCCTGGTGGGGGAACTACTTGTCCCTGGTGTATTTAAAGGCTTTTGCATTTACATTCAAAGGATTTTTTATTCCTTCCAGAAGAGCTTTAAGAATTTAGTAGTGAGCATTTGCTGTGTCATATGGTGCATTTTAAATTTCAAAATAATTTTGAGTCCTACATAAGCATTAATTCACTGATATGTTGGGCTAATTTGAGCTTAGAACCCCATAAGAATACTTCAGCTCTTTTTTTTTAAAAAAATTATTTATTCTAATTTGTTATACATGATGGCAGAATGCAACTCATTTCATATTACACATAGAAGAGCACAATTTTTCAAAACACTGATTGTATACTACTTTAGCTCTTAAAAATATAATTTATGGAGTAAGTAGGAAAGAAACTTTGTTAAAGAATACCAGGACTCATGTATTAGAAGGATTTTAAGAGGATTTTAAGTAACAGCTCTGCTAGGGAGCTGCCTTGGTAGATTGCTATGTTAATGGCCTGCAATGAATCACACCTTCCCAGATACACTTTTTTGTAGATCCCATTCCATAGCAACTTTGGTTTGGTTATGTGACTGGCTTTGACCAGTGGGACATAAGCATTGTGGTGCATTGCAGTTTGCAGCTGTGGTCCTTGGACTGCTTCTGTCACTATATGAAGAAGCCAGGTCTAGCCTCCTGGAAGATAAAAGCCTACATGGAATGATTTAACCCTGCAGGCATATGGTGCTTTGTTCCCAGCTGATCTACCAGGTAAATGCTGCTACATGAGTGAGCCCATGCAAGATCAGCAGAAGCATCATACAGTTGACTCAGTGGTTAGTGAAAATAATAAATTGCCTTAAAGCCACTAGATTTTTTTTTAAGCAATGAAGAACACAGCAACTTATGTGACTACAGGAACTTAACTTTTCTGTCATTTCTCTGTGTCTCTTTTATAGCAGTCACTTGGTAATATTCCCCCAATACCTACTCTTAACAAAACACTGTATCTGCAGGAGATAAAAGTAACGATTGTTCATAATTTTCATTGTATGAAATGGGATTCATGTCTTTTGACTTCTAAGTAGAAGGAAGGAGTCTCAATATGAATGAAGCTTTTGTAATGTTTCAAATTTATAACTACACAGTGTGTTTTGGTGAGATGCTTATGAGGACTCTCCATAAATCTATGAGGGTGATTATATGTTCATTGGAGCAGCTCACCTTTAGAGAGAAGAGATTTGGGACTTTCAGACTATTCCCAGGGTCATACAGTGTTGTGAGACAAATAGGTGTTTATTCTAGAAGAAGACATTGTGAAGTTCTCAGGTAGACTAGTGTTAACTTTTCCAAAGCAGAATTCATTACAGAGTCCTCAAAAGAAGGACAGGGACCATAAGGAGCAATGATAGATATATTGATCTCTGTAAGACTTTTATGGACTTATGTCCAGTTATACTTTGTGACTTATGTGCAAGAGTATGACACTGATCTAAACCATAACAGGGAGGAAAACTTTCATCCTTTCAGGCTTATCATTACTTCCCTTACTTTTACCCCTTTTCTGGACTTGCTTTTTGCTGCCATTAGCAGAGATAAGTCATACAAAACAACAAATGGAATAAAGAAGTGATGAAAAAGGTTAAGATTTGAGTACTATTAAAATTAGAAATTGAATTTAAAATTTGAAAACATGTAAGACATTCAGAGAGACAGTTATGAAGACATTTAAAATGATAGGTATAAATGAAAACAATAGGGAAAAAGATCAAGACAGATTACAGTTCCACAAAATGAAGTTGAGTCAAAGTTAATAACAGCATGAAACTTAAAAAACAAAAACTGAAGTTTAGATGGGGAAGCATAAGCTTGACATAAGCTTGAAATATCAAAAGTATATGAGATTTAAAATGTAATAGTATAGGAAATTACAATAAAAAATTAATGTAGAAGAATGGTTAGTGATTAGAAAAGAAGTAAGGAAGTTCAGAGAAGGGTTGTCTTTCCTAGAGAATCATCTTCTCCTGAACCAGGGGACTATGGTCTCCCATTCCTCAGGGGCACACATTTCCTTTCCCTGTTCTGAATCTTATGTTCCACTCTAAGGGATTCCCTTTGGAGACTGCCTGTAAAATAGGCAGTCTGTTTTTTGTTTGTTTTTTTAAGTTTTACAACTTTATTTTCCCCACATAAATAGAGTAGATCTCCACAGCAGTAGCCAAAGAGCCTGAGTTCAAAGACCTTTTCCTTTAAGCCTATCAGGTGAAAATAATAGTATGGGCTCAAAGCATATTTTTTACTTTGATTTAACAAAAGTATACTTTACTTTAGGTGAGTTACCCAATGTTCCCATGTCTATTAGTATAGAATAATATTATGAATGCTTTAAAAAGGCTTATGAAAACTGTATATTAATTTATTTAATGTATATAGTCACCTTGTGGGACAAGTACTTTCATTGTTAACTTTGGAAGCAATCTTTTTCTTTTAAGTTTTTAAATGTTTATTAAGTCACTTGGAAGTTAGAAACCTATTACATGTTCCCAACAGTAACGTACGTGTGTGTGTGTGTGTGTGTGTGTGTGCGCGTGCACCTGGTGCTGGGGATTGAACCCAGGGCCTTGTGCATGTGAGGCAAGCATTCTACCAAATAAGCTATATTCCCAGCCCTCAACAGGAACATTTTTATAGAGAAAAAAAAAAAAAAACTATTTTCACCCCATGAAGTGGCACACCTGAAATTCCAGCTACCTGGGAGGTTGAGAGCAGGAGGATCACCAGCTCAAGGTCAGCCTGGGCAACTTAATAAGACCTGTCTCAAATTTTTTAATTTTAAAAATGGCTACGCATGGGGCTGGGGTTGTGGCTCAGCGGTAGAGCGGTCGCCTAGCACATGTGAGGCCCTGGGTTTGATCCTCAGCACCACATAAAAATAAATAAAATAAAGGTATTGTGTCCAACTACAACTAAAAAAAAATGATTTAAAAGAAGAAAAAGAGGAAGAGGAGGAGCAAGAGAGACTGGAGCTCTTCAAAAAAAAAAAAAAAAGGGCTAGGGATGCAGCTTAATGGTAGAGTGCTTATCCAGTATAGTATACATAAGGGCCTGGGTTCAGTAACCTCCAGTACTGTACGGAAAAAGTAACTATTTTCTAAGAAAAAGTATGTGGTAAGAACCTGTATTTTGGACTGAAGATGTAGCTCAGAGGTAGAGCACTTGTCTAGCATGTGTGAGGCTCAGGGTTGAATCCCCAATGTCACAAAAATAAATAAAGAACAAAACTATATTAACCATATTTTACTCTTTAGAACATCTTATACTGTTTCCCTCAACAGAGGAGAGCCAGATGCCTCTGTACAGTTACAATGCATCCTTTTGGCTGACATCTAGGAGAAAACTCAACCTCAGTTGAGTTGGAAGAGAGAAGTCTTCAAATAAATGAGATAATCTTCTTTGGTACTAGACTGAAACAACAAATGGTCGGGTTTTTTAGTTATGGTTTTTTTGGGAGTTTTCAGTATTTGGGATTGAATTAGTGACCTCCATACACTCTCTGCCACTGAACTGTGCAAACACACCTGAGAAGTCGTCCAGGCAAGAGGACTACTGTACCCATGGCACA